GACAGTATGTTATAATGCTAACGAGATAAAAAATCATAGTTTAAACTGGGTGCAATGGCATATACCTGGAATCTTAGTGTTAGGGACACTGAGGCAATTTAGTGACACAAAATAAAAATAAAGGGCTAGGGATATAGTTCAGTGTTCCCTTGATTAAATTCTCATACCCCCCCACCCCCACTCCCCAAAAAAGAAAAGCTAACTTTCAGATAAAAAGGAAGTCCAAATTATTAGGGCCAATAACTGAATTTGGCAAGATAGCTCAATGTACAACAAACAAACAAAAAACCAATTTATTTCTATTTACTATCAACAAACAACTGGAAAATGAAATTTAATGTATTTGGTACAGGGTCTCACTATGCAGTGTAGACTCGTAGTGATACACCTGTTTTCAGCTTCCCCAGTGCTGGGATTACAGGCACATGCCACCACATGTGGTCTAGGTAGCTGGCTCAGCCTGCTCCTGGGGGCGAGGCTGGCACAGCATGTGGTGTTGGGTCCCTAAGTAGGTGATCAGTCCCAAGAGCTATCTCACTGGCCTTGGAAAATGAAATTTAAAATACAATTTATTTTTATTTTTTTCTGTATTTTAGGGAAAGGTCTATAGGGTGTTCAGGGTCTCACTACTAGATCGCACTCCGCCTGTTTACAGTCTCCCAAGAGCTGGGATTATAGGCTCATACCACCAAACCCAGTCTCAATTGCCATCTCAGAGTGCCCTGGGGGCAGGGCCAGCACAGCAGGCCCAAGATGGAACCCCCTGCCCCTGAACCAGCTTGCAAGCACTTTAATCTGCTGAGCTATTTGGCTGGCCCAGGAAAGTCTTTTTAAAAGATGAATAAAAAGTTGTCTGCTTAGAGCAGTCCAACATGAAGAATGATGTCACTAAAATAAGATTTGTAAAATGGAAACTAAAGGAATGAAGTTGTGATTACTAGAAGAAATGTGGGATTTTATAGAAGTCTGTCTAAGGGGCCAGGGAGATGGCTCAGTGGAATAAATGCTTCCCTGGCAAGTGCAAGGGCCTGAGTTCAATCCCTGGTTCCGCCAAAAAAAAAAAAAAAAAAAAAAAAAAAGTCTGGCTAATAACATAGCATGTCACAGTAGCCTTTTCAGGTAGAAATTAACTGACTTTATATGGAAATGCCCAAAACTTGGAAAGGTCAAGGCAAGAATTAAGGAATTAAGCTAAGTACTACAGTTAAAAGTGACAGCAAACAGAACAGAGGGTTGACACATGTGTAATGGATAAACTTGGATTTTTATTTTATTTATTTATTTATTTATTTTTGTGGTACCAGGGATTGAACTCAGGATCTTGTACATGTCATGCAAGTGCTTATTCCACTGAGCTATCTCCCCAGCGCCTGGACTTTTATTTTTAATAGTACTGAAGATGCAAGCCAGGGACTTCTCACTGAGTTGTATTTCAGCTCTTTTTATTTTTTATTTCGAGATAGGGTCTCACTAAGTTGACCAGACTGGTCTTGAATTTATAATCTTTTTGTCTCAGCCTCCCAGTGTGCTGAGGTCATAGCTATGTACCAGCTGCCTGGCTGATCACATGATTTTTTTCCTTGAGAGAGGCTCTTACTATGCAGTTAGGGCTGTCCTTGAACTCACTATGTAGCTCAGGCTGGCCTTGAACTCAAGGTCACCCTCCTGTCTCAGTTTCACAAGTGCTGGATTGATCACATGACTTTTTTTTTTTTTTTTTTTTTGCAGAACCGGGGATTGAACTCATGCCCTTGTGCTTGCCAGGCAAGTACTTATTCCACTGAGTTATTTCCCCAGTTTTACTCACATGATTTTTTGACAAAGGTGACAATGTAGTGGGAGAAAGAGAGAACCTTTCAATAAGTGGAGATGAAGCAACTGGATACCTATATGAGGTAAAAATGAACCTGGCGTTCTGCCTGGCACAATATGCACAAACTTACATGAGATGGATGGTGGATCCAAGTCTGAGAGTTAAAACTATAACATGCGTGGCATCCTGGCACATGTCTGTAATCCCAGCACTGGGGAGCCTGAGGAAGAAGGATTATGAGTTCAAGGCCAGCCTGGGTTACAAAGTGAACTCATGATCAATTTGCTTTCTGTGAAAGCTTGAGAAAATGTTTTTTCTTTCCATGTGACTCTCCCCAGCCTCATTTTAGATCATCGAACACACTCCTCTGTGGCTCCATAATCTTCTTGACTCATCCTCATGTCAGACACTGACAAAAAAATGTACAAAAGGTGGTACAGGGCTACAGGATAAATCCTGAGAGTACCTGGTTGACCTTATCAGATACAAAAGTTACATTTCATGGTATATAGGTCTTGCTATATCTTGGTCTTAACCATGCAGCAGAAAAGTATAAAAATGAGGTATATAAAGTAAATCCATATTAATACGATGAGCTGTAAAAGGCTC